TGTCATTTAGTTCATGGAAGGGTAGGGTCATTTGGGAAGGGAAATGAAAAGAAAGATTGGCCAACTAGCCATTGACTAATTGCTGATGTTGCGTTATGGGGCTTTTACATGATCGAAAGAGCATTTTGACTGTGTTGGTTGAAGTTTGTGTGTAGAATTTGTTCTAATTGAAATTTTAAATATCAATTGCTGATTAATTATCAAGGCGGTTTAATTTGATCCTTGCAGAATGAGGGGTCTGGTGTCTGGATTACTCCACCTGGTCGAGATGTATCTAGCTTGCAGGCTAGTTCTTTCTACAATCTTCCTCAGAGTCACGTGGCGTTTACACCCACACAGCCTGGGCATGGAACCATTGCCGGTATTTATCATCCAGTACCTCCAGTTAATAACCCCACTCTTCTTCACCCACCCATGGCTGGTGCCGTTGATATGGTGGGACCGACAGCTACTGTCTATCAACAACCACAGTATTCTCAACTTAACTGGCCAAACAACTTCTAAGGAATAGTATTGTTTCACAAACTGGAAACAAGAAATGCCAATCCAGCGTTTTTGCAACTTGGAAGAAACTGCATGATGGTATATCATTTACTGCAGGTTTAGTGTAAAATGATGATTAAGGCATCCAAACGGACAAGGGAAAAGAAAAAAGAAAATAGTTGGCTGGATTCAAAGGGTGTAATCCTCCCGCAACGATTGATGACAGTTAGACTTCGTTTAACAGGTATATGTGAATTGTTTTTCCCGGGCATTTGTTAGCCCCTCTGAACCTTCAGATTACTTGGATATCTGTGAAAGTTGGACATTCCTATATTACATTCAGTATCTTTTCCCTTCTGGAAGGTTAGCCCTCAGGAAAGCAACATTTTTTTTTTTTTTTGGAGTCTAGGATGTCTATTGTTTAGGCACATTCTTTGTTTTGCTTCATTGTCACTTGTAAAAAGGTTAATTTTGACAGCAAGAAGGGATGTACCCGGATGTGTTGTAATTGGTTTTGTTATGAGTAAAATGCAGCTTTTGTTGTTGGTTCATGTTTGTGTGTTCAAGGAAAGATGTACATGTTGTTGGAACAATGCAAAGCCTATGGATTTTGTGGTTCTCTTCTATCCTCGCGGTTTAGCGTTGACTTTAATATTCATCACAAGATGGTTCAATTGTACTTTTTTTTTTTTTTTTTTTTTTTGTTGGATGGTTGAATTGCATAAATAGTACAAATTCAATGACCATTTGACACTTTTTTTTCTTTTTAATTTTTAATAGTAAATTTCCAACCCTTCATTGGGATTAACACATTCAGCTATTCAAGGTCTTTATGCGACAATTCGGTTGGATTATTGGAAATATGGTCTTGATTGATTTTAGCTACCTTTCTTTAATTTATTATTATTTTTAATTGGGGGTGGAAATTCCAACATTATACAAGAACATCCTCGGTCAGATATAGACTTAGAAGTGGATAAATACAATATGGTATGCAATTCAATGCTAAAGTATCCATATGACTTTGATTGGTTGGTTCACTTGTTGATTGTTATTTGGTCATTCCATTTCCCGGCCACCTATTTCGTAATGAACGGCGCAATCTACTCACACGTGACACGACACTCAATAATGCATTATATTAATGCCTATACTTATTTAATTCATTCGTATTCTTTTTATCTGATCACAATTTTTATTAATCACTCAATTAAAATTACAGATTAATCATGTTTATATTATATAGGACATCAAAGATTACTCCCCTAAGTGGGAGGTGATAGGTTCGAGTCTAATGGAATAGTTTGAGCGTCCTCCTTCCCTTGTAATAAAAAAAATGTAAGACATAAAAAATAACAGAATATCTTCTTATAGTATATGTATTTTAAAAATTTTATTTACTTAAAAAAATTAATGAAATTTCGTATTAAGTAATTTGACTTGTAGCATGTAATGGTGGTATGAGTTAAATTAATCCTTTGATTTACGAGAAAGTTTGTAACTACTATTTATTTATTTTTTTGAATGTTTGTAGCTACTATTTATTAACTGTTAATAAAATAAAATTATATATATTAAATGCTACTTCTTATATACAATTTGGTTATTCGAACTAGCATTATCTATTACTCATTTATATAGTGACAGTATTACCAAGAGTCGTATTTTATGGTACGTCCAATTACATGGATAAACCTTAAAACATTATATAAGTCATTTCGAATTCAATTTTTATTCTCCTTAAACGTGTCACATACACACGTATACATAGTTACAATTATTACGTATACAACTAGAACAATGAACCTTTTGTATCACATAACAAGATTTTGACAATTGAATATATATATTTGATGGACATCACAACGATATATGTATTATGATTTTGTATGATAAAGCTTATTTTAGAATTTATCAGTGTCGTTTAGGCACTGACCACCTAGCGTATCATCATAATCGATAGTTTAATTTAGGTAATTGGTCGCCTAGGCTTCTTAGGCGCCGACTAGGCCTCCTAAGCACCGACTAGGTCACCTTGTTAGCCGATTAGCTATTGTTTATTATTTTTTTTAAATGAGTTATTTCACTCAAAACGATATCGTTTGGAACGAAATAACTCTAATTTGTTCAAACTCTAAATGCTTTTTAAATTAATATTTAATATTTTAGTATTAACTATTAAATATTAAATAATTTATAATTATTAAGTTATAAAAAAAAAATTAAACAATTTTTTTAAAAAATAAAATAAAAAGAACTTAAAACACTCAAACATTGATGAACCAAGATAGACGAAGGGTTCATACACACTTTATTCTCATTTTATCATGCCTTTCTCTCTCTCTCTCTCTCTCTCTCTCTATATATATATATATATATATATATATATATATATATATATATATAGTATTTGATGATTCACTTGTACATCGATGATAACTTAATTACAAACTGAACGATTGCATTTTGTTTTCACTGAAGTATCATCAATCAATAAATTAAAATGATACTCCTAGACGACACAAAATCCTTTGTCACTAACACAAATTTTGGCATATAATAGGTGATTGATCATAGGGGGTGACGTCAAATTCATTCAATAATTCAAAACACAATCAATCACCCAATTCAATTAAGATTAGGTTAAAAGAACAGGAGTACAGCTGGTACGATGAGCGCATACAACAATCACTGCAAAAGTTTGATTAGCAATATGTTTTTGTTTGGGCTTGCTTGAATTGGCTTTTAGGTTCAATCTCCATTTCACTGTACAGGTGTGGTTTCTTCCTCACCTAAGACAAGAAAATTAGGGTTACATCAGGGACCACCCACCCCACAATATATACCTCCTCAATGCCCTCAATGAGTACTTTAGTTTGGTCCGCTAATTAATATATTAATTACTTTTTTAATAGAATAACGAGGAAAACTTATTTTTTCTGTCACCATTAATTGAGGATGTGCACGAAATAAATTTCACATTGTCACTCTAGCACGTAAAATATCACAATGATATAAACTATCTTAGGTTGTCCATAATTGACTGGTTCAAACAAATAATAGTTGCTCCCAATAGTAATCGAATTTAAAATTTTGTGATTATCAAACCTGATGCAGGCGTAAACTACACTAAGAAGACATTGTGTGACAAATTCGACCAAAAGAATCTTGCCAATAATCAAACTTGTGACATTCAAGTATTAGAATTATGCTTTATTTCCTCTGCCCTTTCTTTCATGACAAAGTTTCCTAAACCATGATTGCTTAAAATATTATTACCACTAATCATCATGCAGTTGAATACTCTCTCTCTCTATATATATATATCTTAAATATGCAACATGCTTAAAGATTATATCTTGAATATGCAACTTGCTTTAAAGATTTCAATACTTCACATAAGTGCCGGTTGTACAATTTGTAATGGCCTGCAGGCTGTATACATCATTTTTAAGTACTAGCTATGATACTTTTTTTTTTTTTTTTGGTTCTCAAAAAAAAAAAAGACTTTTTTGTGTTCTTTGAATGAACTAATAAAAAGCTAAGGTACACAAGTTGTCAGCTACTCAAGTTGGTATGGTATAGTAATTGGGTTTATTTATATGATTTTTTAAAATATATTGATCAATACTAGTACTTTTTATACAACCATATTTGATAACATAGTTAGTTTATCAGTTAACTTTAACTTGTTTGACACTATTAGCTGTTTGACTTGGATAAACAGTAAATATGAGTGTTTGATTAATTATTTTTTTGTAAAAACTTATTGCTTCAAAACGTTAAAATTCAAAAAACTGGGAGCAGCTTTTTCAATTAACTTTTTAAGAAAATCATTTTGTATGTAATCAGTTATCAGCTAACTACTAATTTATCAAACATTTTTCTACAATCAGCTAATGCTATTAACTAGTCAAACTCGCTACCTCAATCAACTAACAACTATTTACCAAACACCCACTCTGTATAATCAGAGACATATTATACTTGATTATATAAGGTATTCTTAGCTTTAGTTTTTGACAATACCAAGTAACATGCATGCTTCATTACAATGGGTACAAAAGGCAACAATACCAAGTCTAATTATCTATATATGTTCTCAAAACGAAAGAAGTATACACAAACACCAAAATTAAAATACCATACATATTACTATAAATAAAAATAAATCAAAACATTTTTACAAATTTGTAAATAATTATTATTTCATTTATAAAAATGTCACGTCATAATGACTATAAAAATATTACCGGTGTAATATATACCTGGTAACTTTTATACATGATAGATATTTTGAATAAATACTCTATATAATATACTATATATATATTATTTTATTTTGAAAACCAACGAAACTTTCATTAAATCAAATCATAACCAATTAACAGGTAATTGGCTAATTCATACGCCTAATAGCTACCCGTATTAGAAGTCTGCTAAAATGGGCGGAAAGACAAAAAGACAAAAGTTTCGTGCTGTTTAATATTTTCATCATTTGGCCTTTTTATAAATACACAAAAGTTTATGAATAAACTCCTCTGTAAATGAGGGAGAGATAGAGAGAGGGAGATGGAAGATGAGGATTCAGTAATGGAAGTTTTAAGGATGGTGGAGCCGGAAGAGGAGTTGAAATGCGAGGAGCAGGAGGAGCTGAGCAAGCACAAGAATAGTAATAACGGCAGAAGCAACAAGAGTATAATCGAGGAGCTGGCGGAGAGGCTGAGGAGCGCCGGAGACTCGGAGGAGGCGAAGATTGAAGCGGCGAGGGACATCCGGAAGCTGGTCAGGAAGTCTCCTTCCTCCACCAAGACTCGCTCCCGCTTCGCCGCCGCCGGCGTCATTCCGCCTCTCGTCCAGATGCTCTGCCCCTCCTCCTCCTCTCTGCCCGCCCGCGAGGCCGCTCTTCTCGCCCTCCTTAATCTTGCAGTCCGTAACGACCGGTCTGTATTCCCCTCCACTTTTGCTCTCCAATATCATCCCCTTTAGATTTTTGTGTAGTGGATTTAATATTACGCATGCATTAGATTGGATCTGGAGCTTAGTAGATTGAAATTCCTGTGTTTTTCCTCTTCTATTAGAAATACTAAAATCTCTAGGGTTTGGCCTGAAGTTGAAATCAATCGACTAATCCATCTTATCGCATTGAAACTCATGTCAATTAGTGCTAATTTCTAAGTACAATTGAAACTTTTGCACCGTTCATATTGATTGCACTTAGCTCAACTGGATAAAAAAATCCATATTATTGAATTGAATTGAGTTTATGTCAATTAATACCTTTACACCATATATTGAATATCACACATGAGCTGAACTTAAAGTTATCTTACATTGAAAATTTGTTGTGGGCTTGAGTTGTATGGTGGAAATCATAATTGTATAATAAAATATTTATAAATTCTAATATCTTTTTCACCCTGGACTAGAGTTATATATATATAGACATACAAGACATATATCATCACTTTTTGCAGAAAATAATACCACGATTCAATTCTATTATTGTCTAGATTCATATTCGTGGTTCAGAATGGTTTCTGTTTCATTTTTCTTGCACATAGATTTAAGTGTTAACTTGTTGGTTCTTGGCTACTATTGTAAGTAAGTAGTTATATGTCATGTTTATATCCATGATTTATTTTGTTCCTTATAGTTGGTTCTGCACCTCCTTGCTTGGTGCAGTCAGATGATTTCTTCAGTTTTGTTTTGTTTTGTTTTGTTTTTTTTTTTAATCTACCAGGCCTTGAACTATCTGCTTAATCCACTCCAGTCAATTTATATTCATTCTTTTAAATGTTTACCAGAAACAAGGTCGGGATAGTTTCAACTGGTGCTATCCCGCCTCTTGTGGAGCTTCTGAAGTGTCAAGATGGTCACTTGCGGGAATTGGCAACGGCTGCTATTCTGACTTTGTCAACAGCTGATTCCAACAAGCCAGCTATAGCAGGATCTGGAGTTGCACCGCTTCTCACTCAGATGCTCAGCTCCGGTAGTGTTCAAGGAAGAGTTGATGCTGTCACAGTTCTCCACAATCTCTCCACCAGTGAAGAAGATCCTAAGCTGGTTCTTGATGCTAAAGTGGTGCCCCCTCTGATAAATCTTCTAAAAGAATGCAAGAAATACTCCAAGTTTGCTGAGAAAACCACAGTTCTTCTTGAAATCCTTTCCAATTCTGATGAAGGAAGGATTGCGATTACAAATGTAGACGGTGGGATACTAACACTGGTAGAGACAGTTGAAGACGGATCTCTTGTTAGTACAGAACACGCAGTTGGAGCTTTGCTATCGTTGTGCCAGAGCTGCAGAGACAAGTATAGGGAGCTCATACTCAAAGAAGGGGCAATTCCAGGTCTTTTACGTTTAACTGCAGAAGGCACTCCCTTAGGCCAGCAGAGAGCTCGAACTCTTCTGGACTTGCTTCGCAATTCCCCTCCCGAAAAGAGACTGACATGCTCGATGCTGGAGAGAATAGTTTACGACTTTGCTGCACATGTCGATGGAGCAGATAAAGCTGCCGAAACAGCCAAGAGATTATTGCAAGACATGGTTCATAGAAGCATGGAGATGAGCATGAGCCGAATACAGCTACGGGCATCCTCTTGTACACCTTCTTCAAAGATGTCAGTATGAGAAACCATTTCAGCCCAGCCGAAATTTTATCTCAGTATGTTCACTATCCTGCAATTTTAGCTCACTATCGACGTGTCGTCATATACTACTACTAATCTCTTAGATAGTCTACACTGTTATGGCAAATACAGTATAACACTGCGCCATTTGAGGTGATTTTATGACCTCAAATGGCGCAATGTGCGTTGTATATCTCTCTAACGCAGATGAGTTTGTGTAAAGATTTTGCTTCTTGTACATTCGCCTACCCCTCTTCTTCCATTTCCCTTCTGCCGCGATTTGAAGTATTTTCTGTTTTTGTTATGCTGGTTTGAGAACATTTTATGATTTTCTTGGTTTAAATTTTGTGTATCTTACTATCTTTCTGAGCAGTTGAATGTCCGTTTGATTGACGAGAAAAACCCACAATCGCAATCATTATTTGAAGGTTTACACAAGGTAAATTTCATTTTGTGACTTTAACCGGTAACCACAAGGAAAATAAACCAGTCCATGTTATTCATAGCTAATCAACTCAATACTCAAACCAAGAAGATTCATATGTCGCTCCTACTAGAAGTCAAACTTATAATGTTATAGACCAAGTCAACAACTAACTTGGTTGGAATTGCCTCGAATGTGTTGTGTTGATTATATGCAAAAGAAAGAAATGGAGAAAAGAAAATCTTTAAGGAGCGATTCCTAGGGGTCTTAAAATGAAAATGTGAATATCAAAATTTTGTGAGATGAAGTAAAAGTTGGGAGTAGGAATAGTATTTTCCATAGTACATATCCGGCAATGTATAGAGTTCTGGTCACAAGAGACCCGTCACTGTGAAAGGACGCAAACATCGCCAGAAAACACAAGTACACAAGCTACTAAAAACACTCAGCCTGTACACTACCACGCTGTGCTCTATACATACAAACTCCCACAAACATCGTACACAGCCACAAAAAAAAACACTCACATCGGAGCAGTGTCACCATCCTCGTCCAGAGGCATAATGTAATTCCGGCAGAGGGGGCACGTAACATTCCAATACTTGAGCCATTTCTCGAGACACATCGCGTGGAAAACATGCCCGCAAGACAACTGGTTTACCATTGCATCTGGCGCAAACTCCGAGAGGCAGACAGAGCACTTTTGCTCCAGGTGCTCCGAGATGCAGCAGATCGAATCATACGGGACTGCAGGATTTCTGCTGCGGAACTCCTCCATGTAAGCCTCCGAGGGAGCTCCCCGACATTCAAAACCGTCCAACGGCCCTTCAACGTTGTACTCCTCCCAGGACGCTATCCGGATGCCAATGACATGAAGGATTGACCGGACTATCTCCTTCACGATGGAGATGGATATGGCGGTGTTCACCAGTATCACGCATAGCACACCAGCATCCGTTGGAGTAGGATAAGTTGAGAGACCCATAATCGACTTCAACCTAGTCAATGAAACCATTGAATCTTGGAAAATACGAAGATAAGTTCGAATAACTAAGCATTAACCGAAAGAAAACTTATACCACTAAGGGAAAGAAAACTTTCAAAATGCATCTATTTTCAACTAAAGGTTGAAACACTCAATTCTTATCCCAGATTTGATACTTGGAAAGGGATCTTGATCAATATATTTCCCTCGTTGAGAAGTAGAAGATCGAGTAAATTCTATTGCAGATATTGCATATTCATCAACATAATCAGCAAACAAGAATGGGAAAACGTTATAAACTTGGAATCCAACCACAAAAATCGAACCTTTTTAAGGATTATGCTAGAAGAAAGATAGAAACAGGATGACCAAATATGGAGCATAGAAATCAAATTAATCTCTCCAAGCAACAAAGGGGCCAAAAGGGAACCATAAACAACACTAAGATTGGATCAATGAATAGCAGTGAGAAATTAAGATTAAAAATTTTACCTTATTGTGGCTTGTAAAGCTGAGTATGCAGATTCCTCTGGGCAAAAACCTGTGAGAACAAGCTGGATACAAAGGATCTGCAAAGGGAAGGCAGAAAATGGAAACCATATAAGAAACACAGAAAAAGCTCACACCAATGAGCCAATCAGACTCTTGCAGATAAAAGTGGCATCTTCCTTATATGAAAGAAATACTATGGTCACAGAAGGTATCATTCAAGGTAGAGGCATACAGATATGGATGGCCTAACACCCACATGTGATGTGGAACCCACCTCAGTGAACAGAGCAGGTGAGGGAAAGGGAATATGATGAAGCAAAAGCCCTAATTCAATCATGGAAATTCAAGATATATATATATAAACTAAAAAAGAAAGGCATTTCATCAACAAAACCCCAACTTTAATCTTATTTCATTTTCTACCCTGTGCAGTACACACAGATCCAAGACTTGAAAGACTGGTGAACCACTACAGTCACTAAAAGTTGACAGCCATCAAAAGTACAAGAACCTGAGATCCAATCACAGATCATATTCTCACTTCCCCCCATGTGAAACCCATCAAGAAATGCAACAGAAAATGAGGCATTAATATCCCAGAATAGCAAAATTGAAAGACTCCCATGAACCAAAAGGAAAAGAGAACAAGTATTAATGGAAGATCAAGAAAAAAAGGTGGGTGTTTTGGGGGACTTACTCAGGAGATTTTGGAGGGCTTTTACAATACAAGAACTTGATAAAATGACTACTTTTAGTATTGGAGAAGAAGGGTAGAAGGGTGGTACGATCTCAAAGGAGTGGTGTTGTGTATTGTATTGATAATGGCTAATGATGGGGACCTCTCATCAACCTAAAGAGACCACCCCCCCTCGCATTTATGCCATAAAACGCTCTCAGGCCCCTCCACACATTCGTCAGTTTGCTGAAATTAATGTTTCTTGTGGGTTTGAGGAGGACTTGCAGACACAAATTAATGGAGTTTCAGATACAGATCAGAGACGATGAAGAAAGAAAGAAAGAAAGAAAGAAAGAAAGAACTTGAGTTTGGTCAATGTCTCTCATGTCTTTTCTTAATCATGATATAAAACACCACATTTCTTACGTCATAAGGATACTTATCTCTTCCTAATTAGTTGCACTTAGTGGCCACTTTTATGCAGGATGTGGCCCAATACCATCTTAATCTTTTCCCATCTAATTCTTCAGGAAAATAAAAAATAAACAAAAATTAGTTATGCTGCATTCTTTTTAGTTATAACAATCCGTGTTTAGAGCAATAGAGCGTATATAATTATATACTTTTTTTTTTTTTTAAATATGGGATCATTGAAAGAATCAAAATCTGAAAAATGGATCAGTAAAATTCTTTGTGTACAGAGTGTACATGCGAAGATAAGTTCTGAGGATTTAGGATTAGTCTAACATAAGTTGAAAAATTTAATATATCAAAAAATATTATTTATCCTTCCTAATCTGTTCATGCGTATTTACATCAAAACAATAGATATTTTCTCACGATTTCATCCTAAATGATGAAAAACTTTTGCATATTTACAAAATAAAAATGTTAGACACCTCTACGATTACCACTCACAAAATAACTACATCATGATGTGTCAAAATCCTAGACATTAGTTTTCTTTTTATAATTTTAATTTTAATTTTACTAATGGCTAGGATTTTGCCACATAATGAAGTGTGTAGCATAAACCTTTATAAAAATGTCACCACATCTTTTATTTAAAATTTTACTCATTTTAACATGGCTTTCCCAATGTTGTCTTCTTCCTATATGATGCAATGAAAGTTCTACATATTACAAAAATGTCATTGTATTTTTTTCTAATTAATTACTTAGATTCATTCTCATTTCTCAAGACTGGTGTGTGTGTGTGTATATATATATGTTTAAGTTTCAGGTGCGGGTGAATACTTTCCGTGTAGTTGTGTGGGTGATTAATATGTGTGAGTTTTGTACTTAATATGCGTGAGTCGTGTGCTTAAGGTGCGTGAGATTTGTGCTTAATGTGCATGAGTGTGTAATGCTTAATGTGCGTGAGTTTTGTACTTAAAGTGCGTGAGTCTTGTGCCTAATGTGTGTGAGTTTTGTGATTAATGTGCGTGAGTGTGTACTTAATGTGAGTTGCTTTGTGAGTTGTTGTTAAAACTTTAAAGTGCATAAGTTTTGTGCTTAAGGTGCGTGAGTCTTGTGCTTAAGGTGCGTGCGTTTTGTACTCAATGTGCGTGAGTGTGTACTTAATGTGAGTTGTTGTTAAAACTTAAGGTGAGTGTGTTTTTGTGCTTAATGTGCGTGAGTTTTGTACTTAAGATGTGTGACTTTTGTCCTTAAGGTGCATGAATTTGTGTTTTGAATGTATTTTGTTTGTGTGTTTAATGTGTATGTGTTGTGTACTTAAAATGCGCCAGTGTAATGCTTAATGTGAATCCACTCGCATAACCGCACGAAAAGCACCACCTGCACCTTATCCATTCCATATATATATAAACTACAAAATTGTTGAGAGAAAAAAATCTTAAAAGGACCCATTCGTATTTAGAATTAATGGATGGGCAGGACCAATTCAAAGAGGTATGTAGGTTAATAACCATACAATATTTGCTGAAGATTTTCTATAGATTTTTTGAAAACAATTTCTCTTTCATTAATTAATTATACCTGAAGGCTGAAGAGCTCCACGTTTGTTGTGTATGTATACCCTTCATTCATTTCTGGACATCGATTTCATCGAATATTTTCTCATACATTCATTGCATTTCTATTTTATTAATATAAATATAAATAATGATTAATGTCCTAATTAATTTAATTCTTAAAAAAAAAAAATAGAATGGCTAACTAATTGCCGAAGATTATCGTGTTGCTTTAGTTAATACTTAATAGTTCTACTAATTTTAGATTTTGTAGCTCATGTACTTGGTAAGTTGTTAGTATTTTGATTTACGAAAAAATCTGCAATTATTAATTGAGTGTACATCTTGAATAAAGTCTATCTTGTGACATTAGCTATTCAAGAATCACATTATATATATATTGGATGTAACCAGAGTTTCTACCGTCGAACGCAGTGACTAGACATCTATTTTGGATGGAACAGCTGGTTTGAAAATTTAACTATTGACCTTTAGTTAAGGATGAACGAGTCTCTTCCACTCAACCACACCCCTACTTCCTCCTGGATTGATTCAGGTAAAAGTTGAGCAAATTTTTTTTTCTTTTCATTATATTTTTTAAAAAATTAAGATATATGATAAATTTTTTTTTTTTAAAAAAAAAAAAATACACTTATGTGTGTGCACAATCATACATATATGTATGTGTACCTAAAAGGGAAAGCTGAGAAAAATGAAAAGAATGCATATATGGGAGAGGCGAGGCTGTGTTGTTTTATAAACTAGTACGTACTAGTATTAGTATATGCCCATGTGCCAACATAACAACTTATACATAGCTTGCTGCCGTTACGTCACTTCTAGCTACCTAACTTTACATACGTGTCCAACTCCATCACCTTATTGTTGGTAAAATTAAGTGTCCAATTTAATATAATAATTTGAGTAGGGTCCATTTTAATTTAAGTCAGGTGAAAGTGAATTTAGATTCTTTTAATTGAAATTATATATTTTATATATTATTATACCTTGATAATGTGTGAATGATAAATTGATTTTAAATTGAGTTTTGAAAGATTTTTTAATAGCATTTGTCTCATTGGAAAAACAATGGGATTACGTTAATATAAATATAATTTAATTTTTTAAAAGAGTGATAACGAAAATACGGGAAACCAGGTAGAATAAGCAAATAAATTATACGTATTATTGGTAATGGGTCACATCTGGATTCAGTACCGTCATAACTCATGAGTTATATTAGATACTGTAAATTCTTCTCCCAAAACGTTGAATCCCCAATTCCAATGGCCTCAGACAGAGCATTTGGGACGATGTAAATCACAGTAATTCACTGGCACAGTAGACAAGATTAAATACTTGTGCGCACAAGGGATCTGTCCACTTTGGACAGAATAAGAGAAACTATTGTATGTGGATCTAGTTGATTGAATGATGTTAGTTGTGTCATCCTGTGGCTCATCTGCCCCCCACTTAATGGCGGTTGGTGTGGTAGAGGTAGAGGCGATATTTTTCGTGAGATTCTAATGGGTTGTGCGTTGTTGTAACGAATAATATGGTCATTTAATGGTGCATTGGCGAGCAAAGAAACGGATAGTACAGCACAGTACAGTACAACTCCTCTCCTCTGTATAGCCGATGTGGTCGATCTTTTGGTACGATGTAAAAAGTGGATCGGAGCTCCTGTGACTCTGCAACCTTTCCATTTTACATTGGTGCTATCAAAAGTGGATATCCTGTGACCTTTTCCACCATCCTCTTGTTTATTACTATATAATAATATAGGTTTTTCAATTTCGCCAAATTATATTACAAGAAAGTAAATCGAACCAATCTTGTTTCACAACTCAACACAAAACTATATATTTTTCTGTACAAAAAGCCCAACCCAAACCCTTAATATTCATAAGAAGAATTCATAAGAAGAATCGAATCGAATTCACACTTTGCTGCTAGAAGCTGTTAAGCATATAACCATTAATGTGCAATCCAGATAGAGCCATGCTTCAATTTGGTGACTACGGTTCACGTGTTGCTCCACCCCACACGTGAGGGAGCATGTTGAGCATATAACCATTAATGTGCAATCCAACTATCAATTTAAATTTTTAGTTGAGATGGAGCACATGCTTCAATTGAAGCAAGTTTTAATTGAGACTTCTCATTCTGTCTATCATTACCCTTATTAAGAAAAAAAGGAAAAAGGCGATGATCATACTCAAGCAACTTACAATATATACATATTTTGCGAATATTATTGTATAATCTGGGTTGAATGCATGGCAGACAACCTAGCTACAACATATATGTAAATGTCTCCGACAAAACAAATGAAAAAATTACAATACTAAGTTTCTTTGCCTTCTTTGATGGTCATATATCCTGGGAAGTGGGAACCAATCGATATCGTCGTCACTCAACTCCTAAATACTGCATGCTGGTCAGAATATATACACAGACAGACTGACAGAGGAACGAAAAATATTACAGGCGGTTTTTTTCAATCCTCTGAGGCTGAACCAGAAACCGAATCCATCTGTTAGTTGATCAAGGCAGATAAACCTGGGATCTTTGAATTGAATTCTCGGTATAAACTTGATCATCGTTCGTTTGTTTTGTGTGAAAGGAGGAGGCCGAAGAGTTGTGATTTGAATCCCCATGCGGGAGAGCCCATGGAGGGAAGAGTGTTTTTTGTCTAGTTGTGTCAACGAATCTGAGGAGATCCATTCTTT